TCCCTCCTTTCAACCACTTGTGTTCTCCTGTTTCTCTTCTATTCTCTCTCCTTTCTCTCACTTTTCTTCTGTTTTGTAAACCTAAAACCTATTAGGATTCAAGACTGATTACAGTCTTGATCTTCTACTACATTCATAGTACCATATCCACTGTTTAACACAGAATTGCATAAGGAAATTGGAAACTCCTATTACATGGTCCACAGTTCATCCTACCCCTAAACCCAGTTATAAGTCATAACATTCTCCAACTTTCCCAACCGACACCAAATGCAGGTTAGCATAAAATAAATAGTAATGCTTCATCATATCAAAGATTTCCAGCAATTTACCAGCTTCAGCAAACCTAAAGCAGCCAATGGCATGTATTAAATGCTTTGGTAGCTGTACTCATACTGGCCCCTACCACCCAACTTGCCACTTTAAGACCATATTGCACTTGGATAATTCCTTCCTAGAACCCTACATCCTCCACAACTAATGGCTGTTGACTGGCCACAAACTTTTCTAGTAATATGAAAATGGTCAAGACACCATAGAGGACACTTTTGGCCTCCACCTATGCCCCCACCCCCACATACAGAAGAAAAGATGCAAACTATGTAAATATATTGTCAAGTTGTTATCAAAGGAAAATATGGCCCCTAAAGATACATGAACGTGGAAGCTATCATATATTTTTTTATGAGTGGAAGCTATAATACATTAAGCATTTAACCAACTTAAAATGATCAACTGAACTTGCTTGCTAGGTTCTGAAACAGAACAATAGAACAGAAAAGGATTACGGAGCACAAACACCTACTTTCCTCATCACTTCAACAGCTTTGGATCTTCAAAACCCTATGACCTCAAAACAACAACAAAAGGGGTGATTTTTCAGCACAGAAACTCTAACATTTACCTTTATTTTTCAAAAATGGTTAAGTATAGTCTTATTAATCAAAATCTTTATAAACATCCAAAGTACACCAAGGGACTGTATAGAGGTAATATACAACCTTATATCTCAGGGTTTACAAAAAGATTTCTTTTAACAACAAAATTATCATATGGATCTTCCTATAAAATACCCTATGCACACCCAACCAAGGAAAAATTCTGGCTTCCAATTTAGTTAGAAATTCATCTTCTGCCACAGATTTGTTTACAAAAATCCTTGAATTCATTTCATTCAAAATGGTCCAAAAAACCACAAACAGAGCAATCCATAACACAATCTTCTCGTCATTGCTGAGATACTGTAGCTTCCAGCACTTAATAAATTTTTCCACTGATTCTGAATTACATCCAAACACCCCAAAGACATCTTTAACCCATCTCCAAAGAGTATCTGACATCTTGCAATGTAAGAACAGATGACTAGCATTCTATGTAGATTCATTGCACAAGGGACAGATATCCCAATTCAACCCCACTCCCCTCCTAATCAGGTTTTCCTTGGTCAAACATGAATTAAGAGCAGTCCATACCAGAAAAGAGACCTTAGAGGGAACAGGAGATCACCAAATCAAATCAGCAACAAAGGAACCAACCTCCACCCTAGCAATCTGGTTATAGAAAGATTTAAAAGTGAAATACCTAATATTTACCTAAGTTGGCATTAAGAGGTGCGACTCTATACCTAACCTTAGCCACAAGCATCTATTACCATCAAAAGATTATTATAAGGCAAGCAAAAAATCCTTCTTTATCGTATACTTTAGTTCTGATAGGATTTTAAAGGTTCCGCAGTAAGTAGTCCAAAATCAGAAGACAAATTAAACCTTGTGTCCGCATCCCAACAACAGGATTAACCCATGTCAGAACTTCAAATCTAGTTATTTCATTCAAATTAAACTATGCGGCTTTTCCATTCACATGGGTATCCAGAATACCCATCTTTCTTATAATCCAACTAAAAGATAGACAATAAAAAAAAAGTCACCTTACAAAAAGAAAGATCCCAAATCCAGAAATAATACAAAAACAAGAACAATTTTTCTTATTTGTGTGTGAGAGTGGGGGACGGGGGAAGGGGGGAGGGGAGGCGGGATGTGGGTAAGGAAAAGAAGGGCGTACTGTATCCCATGATTCGATTTCCTGGACCTTCGGCCACATGGAAGTAATCAGGCCATCGAGCTAAGTAGGTCATGTAGAAGGACATGTTGAACTGCCGCTCATCATATCAAACAACTCATTAGAAACAACAGCCATCCCCGAGAGAGGGAGAGAGGGAGAGCAAGAAAGAGACAAAGACTTACAGTTTCAGTAAGGTGATCAAGATTTACAGAGGCGAAGCGAAGAAGATCATTGCAGCAAAACCTCCGAATAGTTGTCATAGCGATAGCTTCTATTTTTTCTTGCCGTCCTCTCTCTCTCTCTCTAGCTCCTCCTTTCAAACGAGAAATGAAAATTTTACAGGTGCAGCGGCGGGGCACAACTCACAACCACCATAAATAAAAGGGTAAATTTCTAAAAATACCCTTTATCTCAAGTGAGATTTAGCCATTTGGAATAAGGGTGCAAGTCGGGCGTGTTGGGCCGGATTTATGATCAACTCACACCCGGTTCTAAAATTTGGGCTTAAGGTCCGAGCCCAGCCCAAGGGTTGGTTAATGAATTCACTCTAAAATTATATATATATGTATTTATGCAATATATACATATATTTATGTATATATATAAAGATCTATGCAAAATATCTATACAAATGTTATATATACAAATATGTATTTATATGTGTAAATATGTATATAACACTTACATATATACACATATATGTATAAATGTATATAATTGGGCCAGGCTCGGGCCTAGCCCTACTTCTCGGGCCCTGAGGACTGAAAATCCAAGCCCAATCCATGTAAAATTGTGGGTTGGGCTGATTTGGGCTCGGGCTGGGCCCACCCAAGTTGCACCCCTAATTTGGGATACCTAATGGGCTGGTTTGTTAAAAGTTCTATTTATATAACAAAAATTAACTTTACAAAGGTTCATTAATAAATTCCTTATAACTTATTGTGCATCTAAGCAGATAAAGACTTCTTCAAAATTCCACTGTTGAAGTTCCGGTAAAACCTGCATAATAGCAAATAATTCAGCTTGAATAACAGAGGTAACTTGAGAATAATGAAGCCATAGCTATATAGAGAGTCTGATATTTTTCTTGCGTCTGTGAAAACAATGAAGTCCGTATCTTGATTTATAACAAGAGAATTTATTTTCTCCTAGATGATTCGATATAGATTGAGTAACATTTAAATTACCTATGGATAGCTGGGAAGAGTGATTGACCATATTGGTATTGGCAATTGAAAATGGCAAAATTTGTCTATTTTTGAGCATACCAAATATAATAGGCTATCCATCCCAACACTTGCATAAAAAGAGGCTGATCAGAAATTATGTTATGCAAATTTTGGATACCCGAAATCCATGAGTTTTGAAAAATATATGGCAATTGAAGTTTTCAAGGATTTGCAAATACAACTGACTGCAAGTAAGAAACAAATGACTTGAGGATTCTAGTTCAAAATTTGCATAGAACACGAAGTTTTTGTTGATCTTCTAAACAAAGGAGTTCTCTTACTGGGATGAAGTTGTTAATAATTCTCCATAAAAACAATTGGAATCGGGGATGGATAGACAATTTCCAGATTTTCGTCGAACAAAATTTGAAATCAGGAGTGACATTGGGAAGAAAGATACGCTATTCATTTTTATAATTTTCCTTAACCGAATATTTACCATAAATGTGATTTGTCCAAATGCAGGAAAGATCATTGTTAGAGGGAAAGATAGGGGTTCTCAAGATTTTGGTAAACTCGGGTAATGGAAATAATAAGATTCTCACTCCAATTCCCTGAGAGGAGAATGTGGGAAATACTTAGGTTCCTAAGGTGAGGGATTAAGGGGAGAAAATTGACCGATGCTACATCTGTTGTTTCTAACAATTGACTAGCTTATCTTTATTGTTCGCATTCATTAATATTTCGATAATATATATGTTTTTGAAAAACCCAATTTAATTTTACCCTTACTATTTTCTTAAACCAATTTGGCAAGGGGAGAGAGATTCATTTTGGATGGGGTTAGATCATATCTTCACAATAACAAGTCCAAAGATGCAGAGCATCGGTTAAAAAGGTTAACCGTTGAAGTTGGATTGAATGTCTTAAAACATCATCGATTGAAAACAAGATTAGACAGTCAACAGTGGTCCGTTTTCATTTCTTCCCATGAAATACTATGCCCTTGTAGATGGGTTTGCGTGGTAAAAGCTGGGGACAAAAGGGTGTCTTTTTCGTTTAACATGGGTTGTAGAGCCTCTGGCACCTGTAAAGTACTTTGCAAAATGCATGGGGACTTGTGTAGTGATGGGTAAGAGGGCTGATTTACTGAGACAAGATAATATGGGATCGTTGTCGCAAAACAGCTGATTGAAGATTTAGGGCCTGTTTTGCACGTCTTTTGTAGCTTTGATAGTCAAAAGACGCATTGAGCTTTTGATATAAGATCTGGCCAGTCTAAAGACAGTTTGACAGATGCACGTCTTTCTGTGTGTCTGCCTATGTCTTTTCGTGTAAGATTAAAATTCGAAAGACGCACAAAACTTCATTTGAAGCTTTCCGAAATGGGCTTCTCATGTCTTTTCGATGCACCATCTTTTGGCGGCTAGATCATCTACGAGCCAAACGGGAATAGATCGAAAATCGGTCTTCCCGACTTATAAATAGCCAAAAGACCGCGTGGAAAAGACGCACCAAACGGACCCTCAATCAATGGTTTGAATGACGGAATTCTAGATGGAGTAGAGCTTTGGGTTTCATGCTTGTTGTCTTCTGGGGTTGAGGGGAAGATTTGGGCTGATGGGTTGCTATGGATGGGGATATGCAAGGTAGATTTTGGATGGTCGCTAAGAGGGCTGATTTACCGTGCACCATTTGGCACGTCTTTTCATGCGGTATTTCGGCTATTTACAAGTCGAGAAGACCGATTTTCAGTCTATTCCCGTTTGGTTCGCGGAAGACCTAGCCGCCAAAAGACAATGCACCAAAAAGACGAGAGAAGCCCATTTGGGGCTGATTTTAGGAAGAGGAAGCTTCAAAAGCTTCCTGCATCTTTCGTGTTTTAATCTCGCGTGGAAAGACGCAGGCAAACACAAGGAAAGACGCGCATTTGCCAAACTGTCTTTGGGCTGCCCAGATCTTATGTCAAAAGCTCAATGCGTCTTTTAACTGTCAAAACTACAAGATCTTCTCAAAAAGACATGCCAAACAGGCCTACGTTAATGTATGTGGTTCTCTCTTAGGTTGAGTAGGAGAGACCCATTACTCTCTACTATGTGGTTTTGCCGTCAACCACTCATGCCCTGCTATCCTTCCCAAACCAATTATCCTTAACCCTAACCCATCTTCTGATTCCTGGGGTCATTCTCTCCTGATCTCCGCCATAAGATCATTTTCAGCATCTCTGCCCTGATTGTAATTGGTGTTGCCATCGTGATTGCCCGGTGTAGTTGTTGTCACTATCCTCAACCTTTAGATACGGTCATTCTATTTCTCATATGCTACAACCCTCACACTATTGAGTAGAGATGAGTTCAGCAAATCTCCTTGGTTTCAGTGTTGGTGCCCATGCCCCACTCAACAAGGACTATTAGCAGTCGCCGCTACAACTTCAGCGGTGCTCAAAAATAGTAATCCAGTTGCCATTCTTACCGTGTCCAGCCTTGTTAAGTCCCGAGAATATTTCAAGATCCTGTCATCATCTGCCATTCTGGTAGTTTTGGTGAAGAGAATGAGAGGGAGAGGGAGAGGGAGAGATCCCAGTGAGGAATCCAGATCTGAGATATGAGGAATACTCTGATCTGAGATCCGGTCATCAGCCGCCATTTTAACAATTTCGATAGTTCTGACGAAGAGAATAAAAGGGAGAGATTCGAATAATTTATAGTAGAGGGTATAATAGTCTTTTTAAATCGTTGTAATACACGTTAATGAGTAATAAGGATTAATCAATTTGAAATAGTAGGTTCAAACATTAAGATACACTTAGTCAATTAGCTGTAATTTAAGAAATTTACCCAATTCTCATGTGATTGGATCATGATCTCGTTTGATTGCTCAAATGGGACCCATGAAGCTTCAATATTTTTTTTCAACCCAAAAAATAAAGGAAAAACTTTAAGCTTACCCACTAAATTTTGTTATTGACGAGCTGCTCTAAAAACACAAAGAGGGGAAAACCTTTGCAACAACCAAAAATCTATTCTGTCAAAAAAAATGTTTTTAACCTAATTTTTTTTTTATCTTTTGATGTTTTACGGTACTTAATATCTATAGTGATTTCAATAGATTGAAATTCCATTCTAGTTAATTCTAATTATTATCTAAACCAAATGGACTTAGAGTTGCAAAATCAGATCGTGTCACCTGCAACCCGGCACGATAATACATAAGTCGTGTTGAGCACATCATGATAGAATAAGCCGTGTTGAGCCTAGGGTTTCAGGTCCATGGACGGGCATGACACATCACAACTGAGTGGGCCATGTTGGCACGTGGTATTCCAATTCCTATCTAAACTAAACGAACCTAGAGTTGTAAACTAGGTCGTGCCACCTATGACCCGACACGACAATACGCGGGTTGTGCCGGGCACGACATGATGGAATGGGTTAGGCTGGCACACGGGATTCCTATTCCTATCTAAACCAAATGGACCTAGAGCTGTAAATCGGTCCGTGCCACCTATGACCCAACACAACAATATGCGGGTCGTGCTGTCATGCCAGGCATGACATGATGAAATGGGCCATGTCGGGCCAGGGGTTTTAGGTCCATGGACTGACATGACATGACATGACATGATTGAGTAGGTCATGCCGCCCGGGGCTCATGTGCCAGTATGGCCCAACACTGCCCATATATTTATATATATTATATATGATAATTATGTAATAATATATAATATACTAATATATATATATATATATATATATAATTTGTTTACAATTTTATTTAATTACTGTATATATAAATAATTATATACATAAAAAATCATATGAAATAAAAAATTAAACATTTTTTTTTTATTCTTTTTAAATAGACCTCTCATAGCTTGGCCTGGCCCATGGACTAGCCTAACCCACAGCATGGCATGCGCATGGGCCCATGCAAGCTCAAGCCATAGGCCATGCCAAGTAGACCCCCCAAATTATCCAAAAGAGGGAGGCACGGCCCGGGATGGCCCATGGACTAGCACGGTATGGTTCGCACTTTGCACAAGCCACACATAGATCGTGCCATGCCGACCCATTTGATAGGTCTAAACGAATCATAAAAATAGACCATTCCAAATCTAATTCCAAAACCAATTCTATCTATGAACCAAACGGATCCTAAACAATTTAAATAACAAGCCTAACATTTAAGTTATAAGTGGATTAGAAAATTATATCGAATTAGTGTAATAACTTTTTTAACTTGACGAGGCTAAGATTTAAGTTATAATAAGCAGACTACAAAAATTATATCGAATTGCTATAATAATCTATCACCTTTTGTCAAAACTAATAAAGTTTAATTAATAACGTATAAATTTGTTTATTAGAATGCATAATAACCCACTTGTAATTTTGTGAAGTTGGAAGAGATCCTTGGCAGGTAAGTTTAAATTTTTTTTTTTGGTTGAAAAATATTAAAAAAAAAAATAAATAACGCGAATATAACTCCCGCTCGTTACTAAACCCGTGTAGGTGATAGAACGCGGATGGAAGAGTAGCGCGCGTTCTAACTTCTAAGATGTTAAGTCTCCTCTCCTATCCTAAGTCCTAACTCGTAAGTCGTAACCAACCTCCTCTCTTATTTATATTAGCAGAAATAAATGCTTGAACATAAATACCCCCGACCTTCTGTCCTCTTTCCGGAACACGCAGCACAAAACACAATCGACTCGCCGGAGAGTGGACGAGAATCAAGAGACATCTCGTCGCTATGGATATCCTGAGACAAGAATTGCTGAAGAAGAGGAAAAGCTTGGCAGAAGACGTCGGAGGCAAGAAAGTCTTCAAACGATCCGAAATCGAACAGAAGAAACTCCAGAAACTTCGTGAAGAAGAGAAGCGCGAGTTAGAAGCCAAAGCCCTCCGCGACAAGCAGCACAATTCCTCCAGCACCTCCTCCGGCGCCACCGCCTCCACCACCTCCTCTTCAAACCCTAATTCCAAATCGGATCTTCCTTCTTCCGCCTCTGCTTCCTCCAAAGCACTAGAAACCCTAACTGACGAGAAAAAAATCGACGAACTCGTCCTCCCTAAACAAGAAGTAATCCGTCGACTCCGATTCCTCAAGCAACCTATCACCCTCTTTGGTGAAGACGATGAAGCGCGGCTCGACAGGCTTAAGCTTATCCTCAAGGCCGGAGTTTTTGAGGTTGATAGTGATATGACGGAAGGACAGACGAATGATTTCCTTCGAGACATTGCGGAGCTAAGGAAGCGGCAGAAAACGGGGATTTTGAGTGACCGGAAGAGGAAAAACAAGGAGGATGGGATTGAGGATGGAGAGGCGGGCGGAGGAAGCGCTGATGATGATTTGAGTGGAGATGGAGGCTCCTCTGGTGTTGACAATGATAAGGATTTGAAGCGGATGAAGGCGAATTTCGAGGATTTATGTGATGAGGACAGGATTCTTGTATTCTTTAAGAGGCTGTTGAATGAGTGGAATCAGGAGCTCGACGAAATGCCAGAGGCCGAGAAGAGGACTGCTAAAGGGAAATCGATGGTTGCCACGTTCAAGCAGTGTGCCCGGTACCTCAATCCCCTCTTCAAGTTCTGCAGGAAAAAGGTATGTTCTCTATTTCCTTTTTTTTTTTTCTCTTTTCCTTTTTGTGTTTTTTGTTATTTAACTCGTCTTGCAGTCGGTGTTGTTCGGTTATGAAATTTAAACAATTGATTCTATTTGAACTGAGTAGATGGAACTTAAAATCTCGCTTTGACTAAGAAACTAACTGGCATACATCAATTCATTGTTCAATACAGTTCACTTGTTCTACGGAGCAAATGGTTGGTAGTAACAGCTCAGTGGTGATTGAGCCAACCATTCTTATTGGTACTAGTGTTAAGGTTTTATGACTATATGAAGTTTTTAATAGAGCTTGGATTTGCATATGAGCTATTTCCAGGAGATTTTAGAATCTGATATTAGAGGGAATTCCTTGGAGGGCCGTTAGAGGGAAATCATTCTTCTTTAATATCAAAATGACAGCTTATCTTCCATCATCTTGATGCTTCATGTTCCACCCAATTTTTCTTGAATATAGACTAGGCATAATAGATAACTAGGGAATTAAAACATTGTTTCTCTTTTTTGCCCGATTACTCTTAGGTTGGTTTTGTGTCAATTTGCTTTGACAGATTGGAAACAATGGGTCATCTATATCAACAAACTCTGAGTCAAGTAAACCCAACAATGACTTGTTCCAGGCATCCTATGTTAAGTAACTATTGTCCAGTGTCCACGTATCTCTGCCAGTTTATTCATGGTGTCTGCGTGATGTGCAAATACTTTTACCTCCGTTGATGAGTAGCCTAATTGATTGATGATGCTCAGGAATGACTAGGCTACTCAATGAATTCGGATAATAAAGCAATCTCTTTTTCTCTTATAGTAGCATTTTTGAATGGATGAAAGCATCCGTCAATCTGTCCAGCAATAATAAGCTTTAGAATAGATGATCTATGGAAGGACTAAAGGTTGAAGCATTGGACATTATTTAGAGCAATATATTGAAGACTGGACTGGAGCAGGTAGTTGAATTGATTAAACCTATTAACAGTCAAGATTCCAGGCTGGTGAATTGAGGTGATTTTGAAATTTTGTTCAGTTTAACTGCTCTAACTGTGAATTGCACGGATCTACTGTTTAACCCACAGTTCTGTTTCAGAACCAATGATTTATGTCAAGATTCAAGAAGGTTATCTTAAGTTTCCTTATTAATGAAAAAATAAAAAATAATAAAAAAAAGTGGAAGTTTGACTCAATGGCCCTTCATACCGAAAACAATTTACTTGTCACAATTATGAAGTACAATGAAAAGATAACGAGGGTTATTGCAATAAACTTTGTTTTGGCCAAAGGTGCCAACTAGCTTAGTTGGTAAGGTCTCTGGAGGCTGGTTGTAGCAGAGACTTGGGATCGAATCCCGCCTTCACCAGGGTTGGGGGTCATAGGCTTGGGGGATGATGGGCTACTCCCACCTGTTGTGTAGCCCCATAAAAAAATAAAAAAAAAGTTTGATCCATTGCTTCTTTCAATTTGAAAAGTGAACTACCAAAATACTTTTCTGAGTTGTGACATTCTAATGCTACATCAGCATTATGGCTACCAGAATGCCTTTGTAATGAAAACACTGCCACAACATATATTGGTATTGTTCTGCCAATTGTGACAAAACAGAAACACTAAGCAGCATCCATGCCAAATACTACCACTGTCTGGATTTGTGGGTTTCTTACTGCTTATTTTATCAATAATTAATGACCTAGTCCCTTGTTGGTATATGTTCCCTCTTTCAATGTGAAACTAGGATTTTGAACTTGTCCTGATACATGTGTTCACGTTTCAGGTTCTTCCAGATGATATTCGTCAAGCATTGCTGGTGGTAGTTGAATGCTGCATGAAGAGGGATTACTTAGCTGCAATGGATCAGTACATCAAGCTGGCCATTGGAAATGCACCCTGGCCTATTGGTGTGACTATGGTTGGTATCCACGAACGTTCAGCCCGGGAGAAGATTTACACCAACAGTGTGGCTCATATCATGAATGATGAGACGACTCGCAAGTATCTACAATCTGTGAAGAGACTTATGACATTGTGCCAACGGAGGTACCCTACAATGCCATCCAAGGCTGTTGAGTTCAACAGCTTGGCTAATGGGAGTGACCTGCACTCCCTTCTGAATGAAGAAAGGGCACAAAGCTCAGAGGAAAGGCTGCGGCTGATGCCCGCATCCAAGGATAGCTAGTTACCATACAGCACTAATTTTACACTGTGATCAAAGTCTTTGAATCAACTTTTTTGTTTTTTTATTGAGTGATTCTTAAGTTATTAATACTTAAATAGAACCACAACAGTGAAGCCTGCATGAGTCTTGTCTATTTGTGCACAGATTCAGAATACCACACAATTCGTGTTAATTGGGCCCTTTTGGCATTGGCTTTCATAATTTCAATCACATTGTAATTTGGGTGTCTATGATATAAACTTAGAGATGCTGTTTACTAAACTACCCCAGGTATGTTGCTTCCTCAACCAATAATTACCATATTTCACACAAAAATAAAAATCTGGTTAAAATAGGAAAGCTCATTTGGTCACCGGTTACCGCTCCAATGCAAAGCTGAGATCAACACATTTGATCTCTGAATTTCCTCTAGGCATCCTAGACGAAGATGTTTTGCAGGATTGTATCTCACTTTGGTTTCATGATTTCATTGTCCTTATCTAGTTATTGTAGGTTTCTTATCAACCATCAACGGATGTAGTGGCTCTGTACTCAATGACAAGGAACAACAACTCTTCTCCATCAAACGGTGTGTAATGTGTACCTAATGAAATAATTGTACATGTGGACGAGCTTCAACTGGGGCAAAGTATTCTATTTGTATGTGATCTCACTAAATTCATATAAAAAAAAAACGTAAGGCAGATATGAAATGTCACTGTTATTGTGTTCAATTTCTTTTTTCCTTTTACAACACAAGACAATCAATAAAAATCGATTAAAGACAGCTTGGGCTATCAAGGTTTTTTTTTAGCCAAAACAAGATATGGAGGGAAGTTGCAGGTAAGACCAAGTATCAAAATCCCAAATTCTCATTGGTCCAACCCATATCGCCTTATCCAAACCCAAATCCCCACCACCCATCCAAAATCCTACACTGCACATAATCTTTCTCTCTTCCTGTGATCCAAAACAGCAACTAGCACTGGTAGTGGTACCATCCACCACCTCGCCACCCATCCCATCCTATCCCACCGTTCTTCCATGGCCATGGCAACCCAGGCAGCACTCTTCACTCCAACCCTCTCCGCCCCAAAATCCGGCAACCGTGCCCTTGTTCCATGGAAACCATCCTCCACATCCTTATCGTTCATCAGTCCAAGGCCTCTCAACTTGTCCGTGGCACAGCGGACCATCAGGGCTGCGGCCGCAGATGAGAAGACTGAAGCTCCTCCAGCAGCGGAGGCTCCCGTGGGCTTCACCCCACCTGAATTAGACCCCAACACCCCATCTCCGATCTTCGGCGGCAGCACTGGAGGACTGTTACGCAAGGCGCAAGTGGAAGAGTTCTATGTGATCACATGGGAGTCCCCAAAAGAACAAATATTTGAGATGCCCACCGGGGGTGCAGCCATAATGAGGCAGGGACCAAACTTGCTCAAATTGGCCAGGAAGGAGCAGTGTCTGGCTCTTGGAACTAGACTGAGGTCTAAGTACAAGATCAAGTACCAATTCTACAGGGTATTCCCTAATGGAGAGGTCCAATACCTCCACCCTAAGGATGGGGTCTACCCAGAGAAGGTGAACGCAGGCCGTCAAGGAGTGGGACAGAACTTCCGATCAATTGGAAAGAACGTCAGCCCCATCGAGGTCAAGTTCACTGGCAAGCAAGTTTATGACTTGTGAGGTCAGATGTAATTTGTGAACGAGCATGCCATTATTTACTTACTGTTCTTTGTTGTACTGGGTATCTTCTTCTCCTTTTGAGAACCTAAATCAAAACTTAAGCAAAGCAAGAACAAGTATATTGTGTGATACTGTAACTTTGTTTAATTCAGTTGCTTCAATCAGTTGGTTATTTACTTGGCCCTTATTGTAATGTTCGTTTGTTTCATCACCATTCACCATCACTTGGAGAATTAGGGAGCTGCGGTCGGGGGAAATTACAGGTGCAAGTTGATATGAAATTATCATTGAAAGATAAACAAAATTAATATTGCATCAGAATTTAATGGAGTTGTTCCAATTGCATGCTACATCTTTTACCTATTTAATCCTACATTAAACTACAAAGGATATATGAATTGGACAAATTTCAAATAAGTCAGATCTTTGATCTACTTAAATATTAGTAATACACCAATAATAGTTTTATTATAAGATATAGTGTTAGTGTGCCAGAGATTCATACATCTATATGAAATAGCATAATCACCGTATTAATCAAGGAAATCTATCTCATAATCTAAAGGAATGCGAATTGTTTTTTCTTGTTTGCAAGTTCCCAAGGCTCAAATTGGAAAGAGTACAAAAACAAATATGTAAGGCACATATATATACAAAATACAAAGTTTTGCACTTTATATATGTTGGGATTTACGTATGAGTAGTTGAAGAGAATCCCACATCAGGAAAGAATGAGAGGTGCAAAAGATATATATACAAGAGTGACCCATGATCCAATAGCTTAAGCTTTTAAGTGGTATGTGGTGTTACTCTCTTGTGTGTAAGTCTTATGCATGTGTACATATACGAGCCCTAGCTTTTTATGACTCTCCTCAATTCATAACAATGGTATTAGAGCCCAAGGTTTGGCTGAGTATAAGTATTGACAGATGCATATAATGACTCCACAATGGCCTAACTTTTGGGTCATTGACAGATGCATGCACCTAATGTGGAAAACACTCATACATGAGGGGGAGGCTGTTAAGATTCATATATAAATAGTTGAAGAGAAACCCACATTGGAAAAGAATGAAATGTGCAAGAGACTAATATACAAGAGTGGCCCATAGACGTGGCAAAAAGTTGACCAAACCCAATCCGAAAAAGCAGGGTTAGGGTCTCATATTTAGATACTCGAACGTGAAATTGGCTGGTCCGACCCGACCCGATCTGAAAAACTGGTTGGGTTGGGTCACGGGTCAACCCGATGACCCGATTATCAAGTCTAATTGGGATTATTTATGCACTGTTAGAAGTTTCCACTCTTTATTTTTTTCTATTTAGTCTTTATTTTTTATTGTTTACTCATTAAATTGTTAAATTTTCAAGCTTTTTATTTTATATTTGGAATTTTAAGGTTAATTCTTTTAATTTTGACATTTTTTTATGTAAATTTTCTTTATTTTTTTAAATTTCAATTATTTTTTGGGATGACCGGAATTGACCCATGGGTCAACCCTAACCCGAACATTTAGGGCTAGGATTTAGCATTTGATAATCCAATCCAAAATTCAACCCGACCCGAAATCAACCCGAAGTACCTTGACTCAACCCGAACCCGACCCACCCAACCCAATTGCCAAGTCTAGTAGCCCATAAACCAATAGCTTACCTTTTGGGTTGTATATGGTGTCCCTCTTTGTGTTCAAATACTATGCATGTGTACATCCTTGATTTTGACTTTTGACGACTCCCCTCAATTCATAAAGCAAGGTCTAACACTTTGCTTGAAAAGACATTAATTATTAAAACAAAAATATAGAAAATATGTTTTTAACTTTATAGTTCATTTCTTTTTTTGTCCAAGCCGAAGCCAAAAACATGTCCTTGGTTTTTTTTTTTTTTCAAAAAATATGCATATTTTTCTTAGATCTCCTTACATTCCATTAAGGAGTAATGTTTTTCTTTTTCTTTTTAACACATTAAGCAGTATGAATTACACCTCTTTACGATCAATATCCCATTTGGATTAGAGTCTTGCTGAAAATAAAACATTAGGCTACAACACCTTCAATAGAAATCTAATATTCATTGTTGAATAATTACACAATGAAAAAATAGTTTGATGAACGAATTTATATTTTTTATGGTTAAATACTTAAAGTATCCTTATGGTTTAACAAATAGACAAAAAGTTATCCTACTATTTGAAAAATTACTTGAAATATATTTGAGTATTTTGATAATAGACATTGTGGTAAATTTTGATAGAAAAAGCGAAATATCAAATTTGCCCTCCATTATTTATCAAATCTTCAAAATAAAACCCAACATATAAAAAAATTCAAAAGAGGAAAATAAAAAAACCGAGAAAAAAAGTCAAAGATAAATCTTCTCGGAGATTTAGGAAACGTGAACAGACACCTCCGCATCTCACTTTGATGGAAAACAAGATATTGGAAGCAATATCCTCCGACTTCTGCTATGTTTGACAATGGGTGGTGAGGATGTTGGCTCTGCAAGGAAGAGATCGATGAAGGATTTCGAAAGGTTGCAGCAAGACTCTGTTGCAGGCATCAATGGTCACTCTCCTTAAAATTTCAAGGTTTTGTGTGCTATACCGAATCGTTTTTGGTTTTGACCGGTTTAAATAGTTTGATTTTTGAATTTTAAAATTTATTTTTTAAACATTTTCTTCTTTATTTTCGTGTCTCTTCTTCTTTGTCTCTTCGAACATGTGCACTGTTCTAAAGAGACATCTCTCTGAAAAGACACTTCTATGTCCATTCGGGTGATTGAGAACACTCTATAAAAAGAGTGTTGGTTGACCCAAAAACACACAACAGTGTACACAATACAGTTTGCTTTCTCTCTGTCGAGTGTCAATTTCTGAGCATCATTCTTTGGGGTTTGCAGAGGTCTTGTAAGCAAATGCACGCCTACAAGTGGCTGTGAGCTGTTTTATCTTGGTGACCGATTTACAATCATCCGACTACACGGAAAGAACAAATACAATTTTAGGAAGAATAACCAAGTGACACAACTCAACCCTTCTACTCTCTGTAATTTTTCAAATTCATAGTTTTACAACAATATAGTCCTACAAATTCTCGATTTGGAAACCAATTAATGATAATTTGTTATTTTCCAATAGTGGTGCACCTCAAGACAACAATATAATACTTTGGAGTTCTGTGATATTTGGCCTTGATGACACTCCCTCGGATAGAAGTACGTTTAAGTTGACAATTTAGCTTACAGAGGATTATCCCAATAAACCACCTACAGTGTGATTTGTTTCTCGAATGTTCCATCCAAACATTTATGCCGATGGGAGTACCTGTTTGGATATTCTATGGAACCAATGGAGCCCATTTACGATGTAACTTCCATACTTACATCTATGATCTATCCAGTCGTTTCTTTGTGATCCAAATCCGAACTCACCTGCGAACTCAGAAACTCACGAATGTTCAGCGAGAACAAACGTCGGCAGTATAACAGGAGAGTACGTGGAATTGTTGAACAGAGCTGGAACCGACACTCCTGAAGTGATTCTTTGAATATTTCCAAGGATTTGAGAATGCCCGAGTAGTGCGGAACTTTTATGAGCCAATATATATTTTTAACTCTATTCTACTCCAATTATAGTGTATGTTTGCTTGCTTTTGAGGATGGATGGTTTCAGGGAAACCTGGTAAATTTATGTCTGGGTTCATGTATAGGGCATTATCTGCATCACTTGCCTTGAATTCCAATTAATTTCAATGGTTCAATACAAAAAAAAAATCTCCTTTATATTCAGCAAATCTCTAACTGAAATGGCATTTTTGTTGATATTTTATAAAAGAAAGGAATTTCTCTGTTTTAACTTATAATCTGGATATTGATCTAAGCAAAATCTTGGATGATGCATACACAAAAGAAAATTTATCTTGAACTCTACAGTTTTAAGGCTTTTAGTTGTAACCTTTCGTGCCGATGCTGTTCACTTGAGCCCAATAATATTTCAAAAGTTTAGTGTCATAATCTCCTGCTTTCATCTCATTGTCAGATGGGCAACCTTAATCCCCTCGCTTCCATCTCGAGAAAAACAGACGAAGACTGCGCACGGATGTAACAGCAATCTAGGAGAACTGACCTCGTGTAATGTCTTATAAAATTTGGTAATTTAATTATTTGCAATTTGCAGTGACAGATAAGGTTTTATTTTGAAAATTTGAAGAATAATGAAGGGTAGAATTGACTATGAAAGGGTAATTTTGAAATCACTTGTAAATTGATTGTGACGTAAAGAGGATTTTGTCTATTGTCAGAATTATTAGAGGTATTTAAGTAATTTTCTCAAATAGTAGGATATGTTTTTCATAGGAATATTTAAGTATTTAACCCTACGCTGAGCTGGCCCAGTGAGACACGTGTCTTCCCAGTCATTGCTCCATCACGTTGGCTTAGTTTGACCACGTTCGCATAGTTCAGCCACACCGGCTCAGTTCGGCTATGTCGGCATAGTCCGACCGAGCTATATTATTATCATGGTCCCCCGCCTTATCCCTCTAGCCACGTCAGCTACACGCCNACAACATCGTCCTCCTTGTTCTCCCACTGTCGAACTCTCCTTTGCTGGAGAGCCACCCTACTGGCTGGTCTTCTGCCTCGGGCCGAGCCTCTGGCTGCGTACCAGTCCGCCCCTGCCTCTGTTGAAGTGCTCTCATCCGACGAACAATCTCTTCTTCGCTAGCCATCCTTATACCTGCAATACAGAATGTCCAAGATAAGTAGACAACAAACAAGGGAATAGTGACTCAACAAACAAACGGTAAAAGAAACTGACCAACCACCCTCTCCATGAACCCGGTGAGCATCAGCATCTCCAAGCATGTGTATGCGATAACGTCTATCTCATGGATCATGCTCAGGGCTGACCTCTCCTCCCAAGAAAGCACTATCCACTCAAGTTGCGGCATAGTTGTCCTCGGCTCCCGTAGTTCGGTTGGAAAAGCGCCATCCACTCCTTCCAGTGCTTCATAGAAGGAGCCCCGACCAACGACAGGACATTCCGCCTACTGGAGAAATAGTAGTAGCCCAACTGATGGTGCTTCAGTTGAAGCATAAAGCTTACCATCCACAGGGTCAACTCGATATCATGGACTGCACAGTAGGACATGAGGCCGAGCAAGAACCTGAAGGAGTTTGGCATCAACTGCATCG